TTTTACCAATTAGACTTACAAGACAAGAATTAGATCGCATTAATAAATTAGATGTATACAAGTTGAGCTATTAATGTAAACGTTAGAATATGTTTTTTAAACAACTCGAATATATTTAGAAATAGTTTCATACACACACTATGCGTAGGTAAACTTTGCAACATTAGCAATTTATAATATACGAAGTATTTACGCGAGACATAACAAACGAGTCTGCTCCCCGACTTGTCGGCGTCGCGATGGATCACTCACGTTTCTTCATAAAACTTCATAGTGAACTTAATTATTTTAACGTAAAATGCAAATCTTTTTTGATCGATGGCGTGCCCAAAATATTCTGTCGCGTGCCATCATTGGCACGCGTGCCATTGGTTCGCCATCCCTGCTATATATGTTCTAAAAATGTATTTTTTAAAAATAATTTGTGCATTACTTTCTATGCATCAATCTTTTCCTTCCTAATAACTTACAGTTAAACATAATATCAGAGGATATGTTATCAGTATAGCAATTTTAAATGTACTTTTTTTATTATTTTATATACGATGTCAGTATCGTGAAATAAGTAAAATTTAAAAAAGAATGTTAATTTTACAAAACTGAGTTTCATAAAGAACTTTATTAATTCAACTTCCAAATCATTATAAAAATGAAACATTTAAGTCATTCGTATATTTCTCACAGTTTTTGATTACAAAAATGGGGACTCAATATTTAGAAATAATGAAACAAAAATTCACCCATTAATTTACATAAGTCAAAAAAATTCTAGTAATAGCAAGTAATAAAAGAATCACAGACTTTTACAAAAATAATTATTCGCTTCTCAATGTAAAGTACTTTCTAATACCAGAAAATATTTTAGATGAGAGGAAAGTAAAATAATTCTACCATGGTAAAAGGGAAAATGTCCTTCAGTAGGAAATATGTAAATGCTGCTAAAACAAAATCTAATTGGTCCACTTAACTACTAAAAGAGGAGAGTTAAGCATTTGGAAATCAGGAAAAGTAGCAATGGAATTATTATATTAAGAGAGAGAGGTTATTTCCTGGTCTGTGACGGCATAAATTTTGTCTGTAACATTAATTATATGAAGTGTTAACAAATTCTGATATATTATGGAATTGCTTTGTGTAATATATTGTTGATACATTGTGCTTATATAATAAAATATTATATAAATTGTGCAAGTTTTTTTATTTATTTATTTTAATTTACAGACATAAAAGGAGATTTTTAAATATTGTTATTCGAATACAAATTAATCATTGCATAAAATTCATGAGTCGTTTCGTGCTGCAATGCCTACTTCAGAGGGTTCTCACGTGATTTTCCTTAACTGCCTACTGGGATAGAGGGATTTCAAAGGGGGTTCCGATAAATCCTGGGTTTTAAGAGGACTTGGTACCCAAAAAATGACAGACCTATCATTTTTTATATTTTTATTTAATCTTATTCTTTGCATTATTATCTTTCGATTGATATATCACCTGTGCATGTCGGAAAGTTCGAAGTTGAATAAAACTTCAGTTTAAAACAGACTAGGCAATTCAGCCACGCCCCCTTTCTAGAAAAAAAAGCTAAAAATTTCTAAAGTGAAATAATAACGATAAAAAAGAATGTGTAGTATATAAAGCAGAATATTACCGAGGCAGTACAATAATGTAATTTTTTTTCTTTGTGAAATGTGTGCTTAAATAAAAATTTTTAGTCCCCTTAGTCTCGTTTTAAACGATTTTTACACTGTATAAATATTTCTTCTCAAATAGAAATCATACAATTGTGTAAATGGCGTTTAATTGTTAAAATAATTAAGAACTATTTTATCTCGAAATTCATTTCATATAAAGGATTTTGCTTACAAATATCATAAAGAATATTCAAAAATGCCATTATGAAAATAATGTAATATACTTTAGAAATTAAATTCGACAGTATACAATGTTCATACTTTTTCAGAATTATTATAGAACATATGTTTTATGGTTTCCATAATAAAAAAGTAGTTTCTCTAATAAATTTTGAGTGAGGCTTTTTCAACACTCTGTTCCTGATCCTAAACATCAGAATCGGAAAAATCCTTGCTCAGATAAAGTAACTGAGGTTTCAGAGTACACTAAAATATTTTCATTCCTAATATTATAAGTACTTAGTAGGATTCAAAAGTTCCTAGACTGAGTATTTAACTTCAAAAATATTACTAATTAAAGTGCTAAAACACGTCTTCCTCCGAAATACGACCCTTGAGTAACAGCATACTTTTGCCATGGCTTGTAAAGGCCATCGAAGCGTTTCTGGAATCCCTTTTTAGCCTTATCTTTTAATTCAGACTGCAATGCACTTTTAACATCATCTCTAGATTGGTCTTCATTTAACGTGCGGGGAACGATATGCTGACACGCCCTACGCATGTTAAAATCCTTAGACAGTATTCATTGACATGCGACCGAGGGTATCCCAACTGAATCTGCAATTGTTTGAAATATGTTCTTATGTACCGCCGCAGAAACATTTTCGATGTTTTCAGCGGTGTGGAAAGTCTATGGACGTTCAGAGCATTTGTCGTCTTAGACACTTTCCCTGTCTTCTCCGTAACGTCGATGTCTCTCAAAAGCTTGCGTTCGTGATAATGTATCACAGCATTACAAACGCTTCAAAATTTTGTAAGTCACCATAGCACTTTTCCCCAAACTAGCATAAAATTTAATATTCATTTTCTGCTCAACACAAACGTATTTTTTTTCAATTGCCGACGGCTAAATGTATCCACCTACAAAATACGAAGCTATGGCGAGCTACTGACCATGTGTTCTGAAACAAACGTTTTTTAGAAAAGAGGAAGAATGCAATAACTCATAAATGTAATCATCATAGTCGTTCTACTGCAAAAATGTTCCACGTTATAGGCTAAATATGAGAATTTTTGAATCCTACCTCGTATATATTCAACACAAGGGGATGTTTAAATCAATATATATATATATATATATATGTATGTATGTATTAGAAATTTTTTAAAAAATGTTTGTTTTTTTAAAAAAATATTTACAATATTCACTTTTTGAAAATAGTAATAGTTTTTTTTAAAACAAACAATATTACACAAAAAAAGACATTTAAAAATTCCCTCTATTTTTTAAACAAAATTTTAATAATAGTATTGCTTTTCCGTATTTTAATATTTCATGAGTTTCGAAGAACAATTCGATACTAGATAGAGTTACACACACAGAACCCTCTCGCAGCATTCTAATAAAATTCTACAAAACATTTTTCCTTTTCTAAAAAATATATTTCAAACAAAAACTAGTTGGAAATAGTTTAATGACCCACAAACACTTAAAGAATGAAAAAAAAATGCTTTCTTTCGGAATGCCTTTGGCGAATTTCAAAAAAATTTCTTAATCTACCAACTTCAATGTCTCTCTTTATTGGTTGAAATTCAAGTCTCGCCTTAAGTAATGGCTTTCGTCGAAAAGAGAATACATTTGGGGAAAAAGAGAGTGGGAAAAAAACTTTTCTTTCTCCAGGAAATTTTTATAGCCATTTTCACTCCACCCTCCACTCAGGGAAAGAATTCCTAAACTGCTTTCCCTTCGGTGGGTTACTCCAACATGGAAATTGTTTTTACTCCATGAGACATTTTCAGCAAACACTGTGGATATTTCGAAAACACTAAAATAGCACTTCATGTTAAAAATTTTGGGAAACAAGGAATCCGAGAAGAAATAAATGTTGCAGGATAGAAAGTTAGAAATTTGCTGCATTTTGCTTTGCTTTTTTAGACCAAAAAATGTAGAAAGGGTTAAGAAAAGAATAGGACTGAAGTAAAATGCAATGTTTCTCGATGTTGTCAAATTTTTGAAAAAATATACGGGGTTGTCAATTTTGTTCTTACTTTTGTTTTATTTTTCATTAGAAAATCATTTAAATCTGAGCTGTGCAAACATTTTTTAATGCGGCTACGGATTGGTATTTTTACCTTTGCAGACCTAGTACACTCCCCAGGATCTGCTATTACTCTTAAGTGCGGCTCCATATAGGTGATACCAATTGTCGCAAGCAATTTTGATGCCCAGTTTCCTCCCCAGAGGGAGGCACCTGAGGTCTACCGATGCGAATTTTGTTATAGAAACTTAATTTTGCCGAGAGCACCCAAGACAAACAGGCACTCAAGGGACTTTTACATGCCGCATAATCATACGAGATGGACACTGTCGCTTTTCTGCTTCATAAAAATCCACCGATTTGAGCTGGGGTCGAACTTTCAATCTAAGAGGCAAAATGCCAGCGACAAACCAACGACACTACCCAGACGGCTACATTTTATTGAACACATGTTATTTGTTGCATTAGAATATTTCACGAGGAGCTCGATGGCTTATAGAGGTGCCTGATTCGCAACCCTAAAGTTGAGGGTTTGATTCCGGCTGATGTCGATAGATTTTCTGGATATGAAAATCGTAGAGGCGCATGTGTCATATGATTAAGTGGCATGTGAAAGATCCCTTGAATATCAATTCGGTTCTAAGACTCTCGGAAAAATTGAATTATGACAATATCTAGTATCCGACGAGAGTGAGAACTGAATAAATCCATGAGTCAAACATCTGGTAGAGCGAAAACTGCCCCTAGATGGGGCCAACATGAAATGGCTCTCCTATTTGGAGACTTGCAGTGTCTACAAAGGCAAAACTACCAAAATGCAGCATCGTAGGAAAAATATTTCATTAGGAACATTAACTTGTATTGATTTTAAGCAAGAAATATATAAAAAAAATTGAAGTCAATTCCTACATAGGTCAACAAAGAAAAACATTTAGCTACTTTTTATTAAATAATTGCTATTAATGTAAATATGTATATATTACATATGACAGAATAACAATATTAAGTGGAAAAATTGAAAGTGATTTCCCATTTTATATGTGGTGTGTTGGACTATTATTTTTCTTTGTTACTATTTATTCACATTCATAAATCACATTCTCTGAAATTATGTCAACCCAGGGGTAGGATTCGAACCTACGATATTTGGATTAGAAGTCCAACGCACTATCCATGGCGCTACAGGGACAAAAGGAGCGGCCTTTCTTATTATATATGGTGTTGGACTTTTTTTTGTTATATTTATTTATTTATTAATGTATTTAATGAATTAAAAAAAATATTTGAAAAAACTGTATTAACTTCAAGTGTCATCTACTAGAAGTTTTAAAAAATGTATTTGAACTTGAATGGATGAATAGAAAGTATATATTTTATTAACGATTGAAAATTTTAACAAGATGTATATATAGAGAGAGTGTGAACTAATGGTAAGAATTGAAAAAATAAGCACTAATTCGTAACATGAGAGAGAAAGGATATATTCGTAATTTCAAAAAGTAATTTATAGATCTATTTTTATGCTGTTTTTTGTGGAGCAGAATAAAGTTCTTAAAATGTGTGAGTTGCAAGTAATACAGAACTATATTTTTTTAAGTACTTCATTTCTTACTATCCTCATAAAAGAAACAGAATTAAATATTTTCCTCTAATTCACTTATATATAATTGATAATTGCTAGAAAAAAATAAAATTTTAATTAAATATGCTCGATAGAATCGTTGATGATTTAAAAAAAAGTGAATTTATTTGAAAATTAAATAAATGTACGACTAAAAACAATGAAATTTCCATTTAAATAAGAATCACTTGAAAGTTTTTACGCTTTCTGTTATTTTTACCAATTTTACTTACTCTCCTTAGATTACAATATATATTGTCTTATTTTTATAAATAATTTTTGCAGCAAAATTAAATTTAAAGTGTAATTCTCGTTGACGCTTTTTTAAGATTCACATTGTTGCTTTCATTAGAAATAAAAATAAGTAATGTTTTCTTTTCAGATCATAATAACGCCAAAATTAATAAAAAATAAATTTGATATGAAATAAAAATTATACACATATAAATTATTAACAATTAAAGAAAATCAACAGGTTTTTAATATATTTCGAATTTTTAAAGGTTTTGGGGGGAGCAAAATTAAATGTATTTTTAATAAATTGACTTAAGCATATAATTTAAATAAAAAAATACAGTTTTTTTAATAATTTAAGGAAATATCTATATATATTCGAAAAGTAATAAATAAAATGCAAATTTAACATAAGATATTTATAAAGTAGAGTCTATGTATGTATGTATATGTATGTAATATATGTATAACTGCACAACAAAGTAGTTTTACTGATTTCTTAAGTTTTCTTTTTCCTTTCATCATGCAATACATTCTGTATAATTTGCCGCCAACGTTTCAAAAATGTACTGAAACAAAGAAAATTTACTTTTTCTACCAAAGAAAAGTGAATAGTTTTTGACGTGATGATATTTTTTTTTACAAATTCAGTATGCTTTAAAATAAATTGAGAGTATGCATTTCTTTCTTTTTTTTAAAAAAAATATATTTCTGGTTACATTTTTAAAAATTACAAAATAAGGTGAATAGCTTATGTTGAGTTAATATACCCATTTTGTTTTTTAATAAGCTCCCATTTTTTTCTCACATTCCTTAAGAAACTTTAATCGTTTTTATTTATTTTTAAATCCAGCTAAATAAGTAACTATAAAACCGATTACACTTTCAGTGAACTTCTGCTTCAAATGTAATGAAAATATGTAAATAATAGTTAATTTATGGTAGGTTAATTCGATATGCTTTTTCTATATAAAAATATAGCAAAAATTCTCTGAAACAATTACATTGACGGGTCCGTTCATAGCCCATTGATCTGAGAAATTTATTTATTTAAGAGCAATGTATTAAAAATTTGGCGGGAAATTCTTTCTGCCAAGAAATCAAGTTTATCAGTTTTACATTTTCTGTCGGTGTCATACGGGTTCAAATTCATATATTTTTTTTTTCTATTGGTAACTGTAATAGTTCATGATAATTGGCAACAGTGGAGTAGCGACCATTTTATGGGTGGTACTATTTTTTAACAACCCTTTCCCCCTGACTTGCAAGAGAAAAATATTCTAAGAAATACGTTGTTTCAAGACGATTGGGAAGTTGGCTCTTTTGTATTGAAAGACAAAGATCAGTAATTGCTTGATTTGCCTCGAAAGTGTTCTATTTAAAAAATACCAATAAACATGAATTGGTGCTCAACGACACTTTGCCTCTAAGATTTCTTTCAAGAGGAGCTAAATAGGCTTTCTTGAATAATCTTTGGAACAGTAACGAAGTGTTTTGTCAGTGGTAATGTTACAATAGTGACAGAGGCACCCTACAAAATTTGTTATTTAATTGGTAATCATATAAAACAGTTTTTTGTTGCAGAACCTGTTAAGGAAGGTTTCTTAATTGCTTCCAATTTAGTTTTTGATAAATTTATTAACAAAAATAAAAAACATAAAAAATATTAATTAATAAAAGTAAAATAAGGGTTTTAATATTTTTTATCAATTTTTCACGTTTTAAATTTTCCGGTTTATCTTTGTTTTATGGTTATCCAGGTTATCTTTGTGTTGTATTTCCTCACACATATACACCCTCTTCTCCCTATTAATTCTCATGCTGTGGCCCGAATGAAATAGCTATCATATGTATGCAGCCCTGTAGAAAAAGAGGTTGAGTACCCCTGCTCTGACATAAATTTTACTTGAAAACACTACACAAGTGGTATCTTTCTTCAACATGTGGAATTCAGTAAAACCTACCTGAGAAGACCCGTTAAAAGCAGAAAATTTTTATAAACCCACATATTACTAATTTACGCTAAAAGCTTCTTACTCATTTATAATGAAGAAATACTCTTTTATTACGAAACACTTTTGAAGATTTTTAAAGAATATCATAAAAGTCCCCCTATACATATCCCGAAAAAAGTAAAAATACACGAAAGTAATATTTTTAAAAGCGAATGATTACATTAGCTCTGGGTAATATGGACACAAAACATTTCCATAGCATCAACAGCAGAACTGTCTCCTTTTGGGAACATATAACTGTCGGAAGAAATAAGAAAATATAGCGTCCTAAATGAATATCTGTTTGGCCTGTTTTCTCTTAACGCTGATTGAGTTGCTAGATGAGGCTTAAGTGCTATACTCAATCACAATCATCATCCTCTCTGATTGCCTAAAGAAGGTTAATATCTTATACTACTGTACAGGATGTGATACAGCCATTTCTTTTATTTACAATCAGCTAGAGATATTCATCCTTTTCAAATAAACATCTATTGTACTTCAAAAGGTTAGTTCAAAATTAGGATTTATATTCACTAAGTAGCAGTTACTTTGCTATTTCGATTTCTAAATGTTTTATTTTGACTAGAAAAATTGTGTATTATTGTCAGAAATATAAATAAATAAATTAAGAGAGGCTCATTTGGAGTTTGAATATTAGCAATTATCGAAATTTCAGTTTAATTTAAAAATATTAAAAAAGAGGGGTTTGCTCGTTTCGAGCAAGTTTACTTTCACAGGTTTCTATTTATTTCAAATTTGACACCTTTTAAATAAATTAATGGCAATGAATCATATAGAATGTCATGAATAAATAAAACGCTAACGTGGAAAAGCTTTTATAAATAAAGTGTTTTGAAAAACTACATGCTAGATGTTTAGAAATGAAATATTTTAAGAAAAATTGCATTTTTATAAATCAGTTGTATGCAATATAGATTTTGTGTTTCGAAATAAAAAATAGAACAGTTTTAACAGAAATATTTCATACTAATATAGAATTGAATTGATATTTTTTTTTATTTAAAAATATATTCATAATGATTATTCCCAATTATTTCCATATATTTATAAAACTAAAAGGGGGGGGGGAATACACCTTTTTTCTTATTCCTTTAATAAAACCTCAATACATTTCGGATTTTTTTTTCCTTTTTGAAAATAAAAAAAAAAAAACTAAACATATACAGGACGATTCTAAAATGACGGGGCAAATTTTTAGGAATGGTATAGATCACTAAAACAAACAATTTCTGTATAGAAATATATGGGTGGAAGTACCACATAGAAGCAAAAATAGAAAAAAATAACACATTAACGGAGACATAAAATGTTCATTGGTAGCATGCTTAACGAGTGATTCCGTATAGCAAATGTCAAAAAAGTTTTAGAAATTGTATCCACCAACTGTAATGCATATTTGGCGAGCTTTATGGCGTTATTGGCTGACAATACTGGAGAATGTTCAAAGTATTAAAGTAGTGCTCCAATGATCTGCTGTACGACCAAAATCGCATTAGCGCTTGAGATTTCAGTCGTTATGAGGATTTTACTAATAGAAAAAGGTAGACAGGCATATAATGCACGGTGTGGCTAATGGTAATGGCAAAGCAGCGTTCCGGCTGTATCAGGAACTTTTTCCAAGAAGATGCATTCAAACCCGTAGAATATTTCAGCGATTACATCGACAGATGTGGGGAAATGGTTCATTTATCACTGGTACTATTGGCGGGGGTAGATGGAAGACTGCACGACAAACACTCTTGAACAAAGTCATCTTGGACCATGTGGACGAAACATACGGCATAAGTACAAGGGCAGCAGCATCTCGTCTATATGTCTGTCAACAAACCGTTTGGAGAGTTTTACTGTTGGAATGTTGGTGAATACAATTTCTAAAACTGTTTTAACATTTTCTGAACGGAATCACTGGTTAAGTATGTGGTTAATGAAGGTTTATAGTTTCCGCTAATGTGTTATTTTTTTCTGTTTGTGCCTCGAAGTGGTACTTCAACCCATATATTCCTACATAAAAATTGTTTGCTTTAGTGAGCCATACGACTCCCCAAAATTTGTCCCATCACTTTAGAATCACCCTGTATATTAAACTCTAGCATTTAAAAACTATCTGTGCACCTGATAAAAAGCAAAAGTTTGACTTTTTAAATATTTGGTACAAGTAATACTTGGAATTTGTAATAGTAAAATATAACAAAATTTTAAATTCAAGTAATTATAATCAAAACATCGGATAAATGAAAGAGTTTCTGAAAAAAAAATTGTAATATCCAGTATACAGGAAAAATAATAAAATTATCAATGACTAAGTTTAGATAAGAA